ATTTTATTTTTGTTTCTGTACCAGTTTTACAGTGCTTCAACAGTAAACATCTAAAACGTATCCGCTGACTCCTGGATGTTTATTGTGGACCTGTTAGCTATCTGCCAAGCTAGAAACCAGCTTTACACCCTAGTGAGGGCAGAATAGTTCCCGTTCTCTTAAAATGTGTTGTGGGACCTTCCACACATTCCACACATTAATGGAGCATGGCAACAGTCCACGATTAAAGTCTGCAACCACTCAATCTTCAAAGCCACCGTGTTTCTGAGGATGTCCCGTTTTCAACCGACCACCGATAAATGATAGTAAATACTAAAAGACTGACTGTCTCCTTCAGCATGAGCCGAGCACAATTGCCTGTAAAGCTCCACATGCTTCAAAATGTGAAATAAAGAATTTTAAACTGAAATGGTTTTATTTCACATCATGACTCCACACTCACTGCATTTGACTGCAGCAGTGAGCAGATGAAGGGTTCGTGTCAAGGGAGTCATGTCTTCCTGCTTCACTTCACCCACGCAGCCCAGTACACACTGTATTTCTGTGGTTACAGTGCACAGTGCTGCCTGCAACACTAGCCTAAAAATACAGTTCCTGAAGGCAGCTGTCATGCAGTGGTTACAGACAAAGGTACGTGTTGAATTACAAAATTGTGAATGAAACATAACTGAAAATGTCAAATAGTTAAAGATCACCATGCAGGTGACTAAATAAGCATGTTACTTACTAGCACCATCATATAAAATCAATACAATATTCTTACTGATTCAGTTTTAATGGAAAACATAACACATGACAAATATATCCTGCCTACCAGTTGATCAATGTTCACTTTTAATGGTGTCCTGATGAGTTTTTAACAGTTTGTTGTACAGCAACAGAGCTTTGCATTACAGAGACAGTGATTTAGAGACAGTTGGTTGCTGATGTATTAATAGTCAGCATGCTGGAATCAGTCTGATTTACATTAAAGGACAGAAGACAGATAGCGCTTAAATCCAGGAGAACAATGGCAACTTTTATCTCTGCGTTTCTTTGAACAGCCTTAAACTGTGTGCTCCTTCGGACTCGTGATATTTTAACATTCATTAGTGCTAACACAAAATATAGTTGCGATTTATTAATTTTTTTCTTCATTGCATTTTTAGTGAAATTAATAAACCTTTTCTAGCCAAGCAGAAACCTCCTGGATGCAAAAAAAATGAGCCAACATAGTGCCAAAAACTGCAATTCCTCCATGGCCATTTGAGAGCCCCTTAAAAAGCCAGTGAGCTTGCATAGATGCAAGACACAGAACTTCATGGAAAAATTATTCCGATACAAAAAAGTTTTCTCTGTAGCTAAATTCCCTCTTCATACCTGTAATAGGAAGACCCTTCCTGCCTGAAAGTGACAGGGACAAAGATATGACATTACCCAAAGCTTCCAGAGGATTGGGCCCCTGTTAGAATCTAGTCCTCTCTGTCTCTCGATGCAACTCCTCATCGATCAAGGACCTGGTCAAAACTGCCACAATGAAGCTCAGCCAAACTGAAAATATATCACCAGTCAGATGCTTTTCATAAAAGATAAGTATCTGACTGATACGCCACTAATACGCCACACAGTACTCGTGATCCCAGTATCCACTGATGGCATTGCCAAAAACATTACAATAGAAAAAACCAAGCGTACTCAAACTGCAGAGCTAATAATTCCAATCTAATAACTCTTGTTATATTCCAGCCACAGGCTGTATTAGGCTGGCTTGTGCTTCCTAATGAATGGTTTTATTACAAACAATGATCTGGATTTTATGTTCCTAAACAAAACCTGGTTAAATGAAAACAACAGTGCTACGGTTATTATTGAATCAGCTACTCCAAACTTCCTTTTTACAAGTGAGGCTAGAACACATAAAAAAGCAGGAAGAGTGGGCACTGTATACAAAAATGGCCACCACCACAGGCATAACAAACATTTGACTGTCTGAACATTTGCAAGACAATTACAAATCAGCCTATTACCATCTATAAAATATAATGAAAATTAAAGGATGAGGTTTAAAGAAAACTTCATGTGTTCATTTTTTGCAGATTTTTTTGCAACACTGTCTACTGTTACACACAGCTGTTGCCACGAACGTCGCACTCGCTTACGTCATTGTCATGAGACACTCTCGCAAAAAAAATCACGGTTTTAGTAACGCAGTAACGCAGCCTGCTTACGGGAAAGTAACAGTAATCTAATTACCTTTTTTTGCAGTAGTAATCCCTTACTTTACTCGTTACTTGAAAAAAGCAATCAGATTACAGTAACGCGTTACTGCCCATCTCTGTTTACAGGTAGGATTTCTGAACTGATGCCATTGGTGCGTCTCCTGAAAATCTCAGATAAATTTGAAGAAATTAAAATTGAAATTAAGGTAAAGGTCAGAGGTCAAGTTTACTGGAAATCTTCTGAATGCAAGTTCATCCGCTTGCGCTCACAAACAGACAGTGAGATGTAGTCGGTTTTGAGCAAGTGTACTGTCATGACAATGCAAGTAAGAATACATTATGATTAGGAGAGCATTCCCACATTAAGGCTTAACAAATGATGTTATAAAATAAGTCCTGTCTTGTGACACAGGTGTTTCGGGGTTGACTTGGCAGGCAGGCATCTAGAATTTAAACTTCCAAGGGGTTTGTGCCACCTAAAGACTGTACTGCCAGAGGCAGAAGGGTAACACTGGCGAGCGCCTTTATTTTGGTGGTTCTCATATGTGCCATAATATAGAGGACAAGGTCCTCCTACAGTTTCGATATTGCTTGGTAGCAGAGACAATGTGGATTAGTGGTGATTATCCCAACTACCTTGTTGTTTGTTGTTATATTTCTACCATGATTATTTGTGTAGGCTTTATAAAATTGTTTTTCTCTTCCTATCCCTCTGTAAAGCCCTCTGAATGAACTTGTATCTGAATAATTTTATACAAATAACCGTGACTTGAAGGCTAATTAGCCAGTATCTTTTTGTACATGTGCACCTGTACATTTTGTGGATGCAGTTTGCTGACTAAGGCCTCTAGGGTTGGCAATCAGAATGCTAATGCTGAGGCTTTAAAATACAGAGTCCAAAAACAAATTATGTCACCATGGCTACGTCTATCCTTTATATGCAGACTGTGTTTCCTGCAGATCCTACAATACCATGTCATCAACACAGGGTTTATTCCTCAGTGTGTATAGGCCCTCATTGTTAGGGAGTACACCCTGGTCCTTGTGGTTTGAAGGTTTCTGGCTCAGTTGCCCAGCCATAATAATTCCGTCCCAGTCAAAGTGCATCAGGTCTTTCCACCTGCCTAGTTCCCTCCATCAAACACACTGACTGTAAGAACTGACTCTTAAATTGGTAAAGTGTGAAAACACACGTTTCACACCACATCCTTCACGTGCGCACAAAAATATGCAAGGACACTCCACGCCTATCTGCACTGAGCTCATCTGCACCATTACACATCAGTTTTAACCAATAAATATTGGATCGAGCACAGAGTGTGCTGTCTACTTCACACATTCTGTGAGCAGCCCTTTATAATTCTTTATAAATATGCATGACACATGGTATATAGCAGCATCCTCATGAGGAACGGTCTGTATCTATGGAAACACCAACAGATCGAGAACCTTCATAGACAACTCATGAAACTGGTTTAGCTGCTACATGTGTGATACTACCCAGCTTTACGTAGCAGAGGAAGTTTATACAGTAAAAAAAGCTTGTGCAATGGCTTCTGTTATAGGCAGCATCAGCAAAGGTGGATGCATAAGCCTGCGGATTAGTAAGAGGTCACAAATTCCCCTGCTGCTTTTCAGAAGCCACTCTTTAGAAGACTCACAGATCCACAGCAATATCCATGACATATAGTGATTCTTTGCTTTATCTGCTGTGTAACTGTCAGCTGGGTAAAATGTTTCTTTTTTTTCCTGTCATCAAACTCTTTGCCTTCCTTCTGCTTCTTCTCCTATCAGCTTAACACCTAATTCCATCATTTCTAAACTGCCCCAGCCACCCTCTTTACCCTATATCTACACAAGTGTTGTATGTTCTATGTCCACCAGAATGCAAAGGTCTGAGTGATTTAAATTCACCTGAGGCTCCGTACATTCTGTTGTGACGTCCTCAGTTTGACACATCCTCAGAGCACAGTCAAGCGACTGGCAAACAGGAGAAACAGGTATTAGAAACACGCTAATTCCTGCTATCTGTGTGGGCGTCTGATTTATGAGGTCATTTAGTTATTCAAATGTGGCTTTAACTGTGGGCAGTTTTCAACACGATTCTGCAAAGGTGCTGACCTGCCAAGCAGACAAACACATTTATAAAATCTTGCAGTGCGTGAGCAATGACTAGAAACTCAAACATCAATAACGGCGAGCAGGTGTGGCTCCTGCTCCCTGAGATTTGACGCTTTACTCTCCTTCGACTAAAAATAACAGACAGAAAGTGAGAAACTGTACATGTTCCTCAAGGTTGTACATCTGCCTAAGGTTGCACACAGGTAAACAGTGGAAAGCAAAAGATGGGCTGCATTTGGTGACATGTAATATTAAAACCACTGACTATTGTCTGAGATTGATTTAAATCTTTAATGGCTTTTAAAGGCTACAGTAGCTGCAGTCTACCAGGTGGTTTCCAGGACTGTTAACTATAGAACTGTAACTCTTTGCACTTATTTGTGAACAACAAACCATCAACAAATTTTGTCATTAATTTTGAGGACTCACTGGTTAATTATTCATTTTTGTCTAAAAGTATAATGTCAGGTAATCCACAAGGTCTGGCACCTTCACATCCAAAAGACATCTCTGGTTTGAATCACTGTCATTTCGATCTTCCTGTCTGCCCACACTTAGTACTTTTCAATGTATTCAGCAAAGAGCGTAAAGAGACTAATCTATGGATGGAGTGCAGGGCCTGCCATTTCCAGTGTGAGTGGGACTCCCTCTTTACCCTTCAACTGAGAGACAGGGTCATGGCCCAGATATCAGTCAGTACTCGCTGCAGCAAATTACTTCTAATAAAGCCTTTAGAAAGGCACCATTAAACACAGCGACAGAGAGAGAGTGAGGGAGAGAGACGGGCTGCAGTCGTGGCAGCAAATCCAATCAGCTCCAATCAAATCATTGTCCAGCGAAACAGACCAGCTAAGACCCCGTAATGACGACCAAATAAAAGGAAGCGTTTTGCATTTAACATCTGAATAGCCATCAGTGTATAAACGGCTGAAAAAAAACCCATCTTGGCAGGTTTTCCGCGGCTTATGAAAGAGCACAGAGCCTTTCGTCTCTGTTCGGAGACATGACTTAGAAAGAGAGAAACATTTATGCAAACCCATTTAGCTGATTAAACAGCCGAACACGACTCTAACACAGCTTTAATAAAGCATTAGTCAATTAAACCTCCACCAGCATAGACTGACAAATATTGGTTAATTTTTTAAGTACGTTAATGCTGTATTTAAATTGAATAAATGCAAAATTATATCACCGATCATTACTCGACGCAAAACTTCCAAAAAATTGTTCTTTATTGCATATTGAGCCACACTAAAGCTCCTCACAGTTACATCAGTGTTTGTTTTCTGCCTTACTGCTTTCACTGTCTCCTTTTCCTCCACATTCATTATCACTTGATCAGGTTACTGCCCTGTAGTAAGACTCATAATGAGCCAATGCCTAAAATTAGCTGTGAAAAGGCTGCATCAGAAATGGGACAAATAGCAATTAACGGCTGACGCAGAGGCCAGCTCCACAAACTGAAGGCCGTGGACAGGTCGCAACAAAACACTAATTTTCTTTTCTGGCTGTGTGTCACATGCTGATTGGCTGCTCCTTTGAGTTCTTGTGTTATGAATATGTTGCTGCCCCGAGCATCAACCAGGTCTACACTGTTTCTTAAACTGTTCATATCTACTTCTTCACATTTAGTTTTTTCAGCTTTTATTTTTCAGCCGTGTGCTGAACGCTGTTTAGTGCGACTCCTATCTTCTGAAAGGAAGAGTTGGTGTAAAAACTGCACACACTTTATTCTGTGGAGGAAATTTTTCAGATATTCAGTTATGAGATAAAATGGATTTACTTTTTCAGATTTTGCAATTTAGAAAACTTTTTCCTGATAATATTCCGTAGCCAGAGGAGCATTAATTTTTATGGATGTGAATGCTTTGGGTGCTTAGTCTCTCTTTGTGACTAAACTGCTTAGTGCATTTTCTTTTCTGTATATGTCAGCCCTTCTACAGGACTATGTCTGCAATCACTCTCAGACAAACTGGCAAAGGTTTGCAACTAACTGTTGCCTAATTTATAAATGCAGACAGATTGCCAACATTGCAAACTGAGTCAGTCTGATGAGGATCTCAACTCAACTGGTTGTATTCAATTAAAGGTGTTGGTGATTTTGGCTGTGGCTCAGGAGGTAGAGCAGGTTGTTCACTTCTAAAAGTCAGCCCCTGGCTCCAGCCTACACCATACCTTTGGAGAAGATACTAAGTTGTAGTTGGAGTGTGGATGTTATATAGACTTAGGCATAGAAAGTGTTTAGTGTTCAAAACAGAGTAGAATTATAGGATTAACTAAAGGTGGCAGCTTTACTGCTGATGATCAAAAATACAAAAAACACAGGCAAGGAAAAAACTAGTGACAAGACACAGGGAACTAAGGAACTAGGATACTTGGAAATCACACAGTGTGAGGGGAGGACACGACAAAGGACAAATGCAAACTGAGGGTTTAAACACACGAGGAGAGATCAGGGCAGAGTGAAGCCACCTGGGTAACACAGCTGAACAGAATCTAGGTTATGAGACAGGGGAAGGAAAACTGAACATAATTCACATAGGATATCAAAAATAAAACAGGAAATAACTGAGACTAAGATATACAAACTTGACACAAAGGCAGAAGATAAAAAAAACAGAGACAAGAGCGGACAGATAACAAAACTAAGTCATCAGAGAACTAACTGCTCAGAAAACAGGAATCATCACAAACCCAGAACAACCAGAAGAATAAATAGTACAGAAGCAACATACAAGATGATCAAAAATAGAAAACTAGAAAACCCCAAATATCCCAGAACTCAAAACCCTGGGAGTTCGATTATCATAAGAAAAGCTCTAAATGTTTAAATTCCTATATAAGAGCAAGACTGCTAAGTGCCTGTGTCATATGAATTTCTCTTTCATATATATATATGAGGTTCCCTGATTATAAATAGTTAATGGGAATTTCTGTGAATGTCAATGGCAACCGATTTGTGATTTTTAATGATTTATTACAGTTAATCCCCATGTTATCACAAACAGATGACATGTAATTGCCAACCTTACAGCATTCAACCGCAAACCGATAGCAGACTCAGTCTGTCTTATTGCCATGTTATTACACAAGACTTGGCCCCTGTCTTCCAAGCAACTACTTCAACTAAGTCCATTGAACATATTAGTATAATTTCAGGTTATGCTACGGTCTCCAACCACTGTTTTCTCTACTGAGACTGTAGCTTAAAGGGAAAACTCAGGCTGGCTGTGTTTCAACATAGGCAGCATGTTCTGTGATCATTTGTGAAGGTAACAGCACTGCATCCTTCGCCTGCTGACAGTTTTATATTCATATGGTTAAATGTGAGAACTGTTGGTGTGTCTGCAAGTTTCAAATAAAGATCATTTGTTACTTTTGAGCCTGTCAAGATAAACTGAATTATTAAGGACCATATTCCCATTTACAGGTTGCCCAGAGAGTTAAAGCAAAAGAACCAATATTTGAAAACCTATTTTCAGAACCTTTCGTTAGACTTATCTAGGGACACGTCATATGCAACTCTTCCTCCCCTATTTCCTGTCTTCTTTTCAAACATCTTCTGCCCTAGAGAGACAAAAGTGTCAAAACAATCTGCATATTTTCTTTCCATCTCTCCTGAAATTAAAATAATGTCAGGCTGACTGAGTGCAGTGATTCTAAGACTAAGTTTATGCACCTGCAGTGAATAAACTGCAACTTCACTATAACCTCTTCACAG